ACTTGGATAATAGCTCAATCAATTATGTAAACATTTAATTATGGAGTGATTTGAAAGTTAGAAGGCCTGCAAAGTAAGATTATGCAGCATAGCTATGGGATTAGGTTATGTGTTCTTCATGAAAATGCCTTGTAATTCAAGTTTATCATGCCAACTTCTTCTCTTCGATTCTCCTAGTTTAAAAATGATCTCTTCAAGTTCTTGGACATTTTGGAAAGCTTGAAACATCCTCTACAACTTTCATGTTTTCCACTTTTTCAAAATACAATTGGAACTATGTTAAAAATTTCCAAGAAGTTGAGACAAAAATCTGCCTAAACTAGGTCAAAATTTCACTAAGTGTTTAAGAAAAAGTGCATGACTTCATGGGCTTATAACTCAAAATCTAAGCATTTTTTTGGATATGAGCCCTCTAATACAAAGTTGTAGATCTCATCAAGATCTACAAATATCATTTTGAAATTTTCCTTTGAATAATCTTGCATCTTGGTATAAAATTGGCATGAAGTAATGACATTATCAAGTATATAAAACACTTACAAAAATTCTAAGTATTGAAAACTTTGACTTTTCATAGACTTTTCTTGACTTATTGATCCTTGATAATAAATATTCATATTTTTGCATATCTTGATGCATTTTGATCTTTGAAATCAAATCTTGATCAAAAAGTCAAAGTTTGACTTTTTGTGCATCAGTTGACTTTTCATCAATTGATCAAATTACAACTATCAATCCATTGATATTGAGGAATGTTTTGAACTATGAAATTAGGTCAACATGTTGTATTTGAATCCTTGAGATTATGCTTCAAGCTATTAGATCATGTATTAGGTCAAAAGTCACTGATCAGTCAATTACAGTCAAAACCCTAATTTTGACCATTTTGCCCTTTTGGTAAATTGAGTGCTTTTCTTGATGGATTGTGATCAATACTTGATAAAATTATGAATATGACTTTAAAATGTTGATGTTGGCCAAAAATCATGAAGTTTGACTGTAGGTTGACTATAGTTGACTTTTTACCCAATATAGTTGATTTCCAGTCATCTGGTCAATTGACTGAGCATATTTGTGATTCAAGACTTGAAACTTGACATGAGTATTCTTTGAGGTCTATAATGATCCATTAAGGTTATTTGAGGCATTATAAGTCCAATTATCCTTGTGAAAATCCAAACCCTAATTTGAGGCATTAGTGTTTAGGAGATGGTTTGACCTAGTCAACACTTGTGCAAGCTTGAGTTATTGGAGATCTTGTGTGAAATGTCTTGAGAAAAGAGAGGGTAAATTTTGGGGTACAACAATGGGATCCCTCTACTAGTCGAGTTTTAATTACACGCATTTACCTCGTCCTTCTCACTTTTCTTCCACCTCTTTAATAGTAACGACTCATGACTGTTGACTATGTTCATGTATATCAAAACAAATATCAAATGTTCACATGCAATTCCCAAAGTTTGAAATCTTTTGCAAAAACAATCAAATTGTAGATTTTCTTCGAGGAATTCCACTACCCATTCGATATTTGGCCTTGCATACTTCGTGACGATATATGAAAAAACTGATCCTTCCTTTGTTACTTTCTTAACCTTGCACCGACAGACTCTATCCAAAACTGGTCTAAAAATCTTAAAAATCGACGTGGTGTAACAATTTGATGCAGACTCCTCCAAACACTTGTGTTTAGTTGGTAACATTGTCTTGCCGTACGATGACTCAAAACCTTCTTTAGATTCTCTATACCTAATGTAATTCAACCACTGGAAGAATTTTTGCAAGAAATCAACCAAATTTGACAAAACAGATGAATATTTTCCAAATTCAGAGTGAAGCCCTTCACACCTAGAGGTTGACGGAAATCAAGAAAGAAACTTTCCTCGTATGTGGGTTGTAGCCTACATACCCCGTTTTTCATACAACTCGTGTATCCAAATATTCTCTTGTAGTTGAAACTCATTGATCATTACATTCCATTTTGACTCGAACTCATCAATATCAAAATCTCCCAGCATGCTTTTCCTAAACTTGGATACAAATTTTGAATGCTTAATGTTACTAGTGGCGTTCCTTAACAAATGCTAGGCACGTAAACAATGGTGAGCATTTGGAAATACCTTTTTATCGCATTCCTCATGGCCAAATCACCGTCAGTTATAACGGATATATGATACTTTCCGCCCATAGCTTCCACAAACGTCTCCAAAAGCCAAACATAACTTTCTTTGGTTTCATCATCAACTGTTGTACTTGCAAATATTATGCTTTGATTGTGATGATTGACTCTAGAAAATATCACTAGCGGGGGTATTATATCTTATTTTTCTGTACGTGGCATCGAAAGCCAAGACATCTCCAAAAATAGAGTAGTCTACGCGTCCTATATCGTCACACCAAAACAAATGTTCAAGCATTTCATCTTCTTTGAATGTGTGTCTCCAGAACATCATGTTATCCTTATATGACATTCTCTTCAGGAATTCAAGCGCCTCATCGATATCTGACTGCTTTGAATAGTTTGTTATACATGTCTCTCTTAGAATAACCAAGCTTTGCATATCCTCCTGGCTGGTTTGCAAAAAACCCATAAATTCGGAAGGTTGGAATGCCTGATTTCCTCATGGTCTTCATTTGGTATTTTTCGTATTCGCTCATCTTCCTGTGTGCGAGAAGCATTCGCTCATACTTGTCATCGACAAATTTGTGGTTATGAACATCATAAAAAAAATTAATATACCAACGCTCAGTGTTGAAGTCAAAATGTACTTGAATTCTTGCCAAACAACCACACTTACTAGTTGGTTTATGTTCACGCTTTCTAACTGCATAATTGTTGTATCTGTCATCTCTAACACCTTCCCTACGACAAAAAAATGTTTGTTGAACTACTTCACCGTTGACATTCCTTACCTTCTTACTCTTCCTACCAGCAAATCCATGGATACATCCATACCAATTGTAAAACATAAACGCAACTCTACGATCTCAGAAATGGTACTGCATTATTTTTCAGAACTTATTCCTTTGAAATCCATTTTCTACAGATCACACACACAATTAGCTGCAGTTTCGTCATAAAAAATGCAACCCTCAGCCTCGCTGATGTTGTCTCTGGCGTCTTCTTCTGATGACAAACTACCATCTTCTGAAACAGATATATCGCCTAAATTATATTCAAGATATATAACAAAACATCAAAGTTGTATTTTTACTTTACACTACGGTAACACATAATATTAACTATAAATCTGTAAAATCCACCATTTAACTAACGATATATACCTCAGTCAGACTACCATGGCTTTCACTAATGCGGGATCCTTGAAAATTGATAATATTTCATCTGGATCCATTCAAATAACCTATTCAAAATGAACAAAACACACATACATAGTTAAACAGAATCAACAAACCCTAAACAAATATCTTTCCAAACTAACCAAACATAAGCCACAAAATTGACATTTTCAATACCTGATAAACATTATGTTACCACACTGAACGATAACAAAAACTATAACAAACATGCAAACATAAATCTTCCATCTTCAACAAAGCCTCGTTCATAGTCATGCTTACAGAAAACGAAATGGTTCTTAACGAAATACGATTCTTAATAGAAAAGTTATATTCACAAACATCAAATATCTTTATTCAAACTTTCAACTTCAGTGTATCATTTTCTGAATTTTCGAAATTCTTCAATTTTGAGATTAATCGATAGACTTGCATAACAATAGAGAAATACATAAGTTTTTATTATTACTGTAAATGTCAAATTAGAGTTAAGTTAAATAATTATTATTTGAAATGAAAATATATATTGAAAAAATGAATAACAAAATAGCAATAAAAATAAATATATTGAAATAATAGTTTAAAAAAATAAAAATTGATAGCCGGTTATAGCCTGCTATTACAGGTCAAAATGGCAACTTGTTTAATTAAAATATTGTTTGACCATATTAAATGTCACCGTATATTAAATAAAAAATAAAAAATAATATATTTAAATTATAAATAAACAATTATTTTAAAATAAAAAAAATATATAAATAAGATACTTTTATGAGACAGAGGGAGTATTCGTTTTAATAAAGTTAGTTAAATGATTTGGATTGAGAAAAAAATAAACAATCAAGATAATACAACATATCTACCAACAACACTCCACTAAAGAAAAAATTTCACCAACAAAAGTGTTTATTTTTCTTACGACTACTAGAAAGGTCTACAAAAGTAAGTAACCAGCATGGCAAGCATCCGATGCCGTTTATTCTCTCTTCTCTCTTCACCTTTTCTTCAGGCCTGGCAAACCAAAGCCAATAGAAAGGTTCTAAGCCAACAACATGGCCCCACGCAAAAAGAAAACCCACGTGTCGAACTGTAAAGTGGTACCCACCTGTCAACATTTCACCACTCGACACGTCTCACATGTCCCAAGTAGGGACCACCTTGAAAAAACCATTCCTCGGAAACTGTTCAAAACGGTCCCGTTTAAGGTCCACCCCATTCGGCCATTTTTCCTTGGGATCCCGTACCCACCCTCACATGACTGCAATATGAGGTGGACCCACATCCATTTTCAAAACACAAAACTAAATTTTTATTAAATTTTTCACTAAATAACAACATTAATATATTATTAACTCATAATAAAGGATTTTCATAATTGATTTCAAGTACACTCATACAATATAAATTGGATACTAAAACTTAAAATCAAGAATAAAAATCTTCATGAATAACAGTTATTCATATTAATTTATAATTAATTCTCTTGTTATATTTCTAAAAAGTAAATGTAGAGTAGAATAATAACAGTACTAGTAGTACCCAATTGCACGGTTCACGGAGCCAGCACCACCATAGTGGGTCCCACTCTCCCCACTCTTCGTGCTCACCCACGTGGTCCCCACTCTTTTCTATCCACTCGCGTGCCCACGTGTTCTTCTCCCTTCTCAAACGACGTCGTTGTTGTTCTCTTCTCTCTTTCCTCGTCAATGCTTGGAAGAAGATCGCGACAATAACTGAAGCTCTCGCCTATCATAAATCTCCAATGAAAAGTCTCTCAACGTTCGCGGGGTGGTTGTTGCGGCGGTGCTCGGCGCCATGACGGTGGCTCTCGCCGGAGATTTTGACGACGGTGACGTTGAACATGGGATGGATAAGGTGGAGGCTTGTTGGAGTTGAACTACGGGAGTTATCATGGATGAAACGAAACCGGAGATTGGTCTAGCTAATGTGAAAAACTGAGGCTGATTCGCTGGGACCACAAAGAACGCGTTTCCGGTTGGAACAACGGTGTTTGATGGTATGGCCCACACAGGGACCATGTTTTGCGGTAACGGAATTGCAGTTTGTTGCGAAATTATCGCGGTGTTATTCATGTTTGTGTTTACGTTGGAGGTTGTTACTAAACCTGCTGAAACTGAAACGGCGCTCTCGTTTATGTCCACGTAAGCACTGTTCGCTGGTCGTTTGCGTTTCTTTTTTTCAGGCGAGTCTTCGGATTGCTGTTGTTGTTGTTCCTGGTCGGAGTTCTTGTTGGGGGAAGTGGTTGGGATTTTGAGAGTTCCGTTGACGGACATCGCGATGGCGGGGACGGTGCCGGTTCCGGTGGCGGCAATGATGGCGGGTTCGGCGTGCTCGAGGAGCCATCGGATTGTTTCGCCGTCTGATTTATGTCCGAGTTCTCGGGTGAGTTGGAAGATCCGAGCGGCACACGTGGCAGGCATTCGAATCCTCCGGCCACGACCTTCCACTTTTGTGTGACGGTCTTTAGTGGATGCTCTTTTTTGAACCGATAGTTGGGCTTGGGCTTGGGCTTGGGCCTGGTATTGAGCCTGAGTTTGAGTTTGGAATAACGTCTTGTTCACTTGCATGGACATAGGTAAACCCGTCTGCACCGGCATAGCCTTCGGTATCACCTTTATTGCGGAGCCATCTTCAGATTCCGGTTCCTCTTTGGGTTCTCCGAGAGAGAGATCAATGTTTCTAGAATCTTCTTCAGCCATCATACTTGATCAGAAAGACCAAAACAACGCCAACAAATTAGGAGGATAGTGACTATGAAGGTGTTTTGTTAAGAGTGTTTAACTTAGAATGCGAGAGTGAAGGTTTGTGTGAATATATATAGCACAAGAGAAGAGAGAATGAGATAGAAGAGTAAGAGGGTTATTTTTAATATAGGAATAGAGAGGGAGGTAGTAACTAGTGATATAGAGGATGGGGCCCTTTATGATACCGTCTCATATGAAATTACATGGAAACAAATCTACGGTGATCGTTACTGGACCTACTATGACAAGGACTAAACCATGGGATGGGTCCCATCTTATGGGGTTAGTGTTAGGAAGGTTTTGTTGGTCAATGTTATTCACTTGTTTGGCAAACAACACAAAAATAGGTTAAAAAGAGAGTGAAGATGAGCAAGAGGGTGAAAAAGAAGAAAAAGAAAGAAAAAAGAGTATGGAACTTGATAAGATTCTTTCTTGCATGATTAATTGATGATGGCATGAACTATTTGAAAAGGATAAGGGAAATTGTTCTTTTTGTATATTTGTTTTTTCATTTGGATCAATATGTTTCTTTTTATGACCTCTTACGTATTTGATGATCTTTTTGTGTGTGGAAAATCTAAATGGAATAGATTTTATGTGACAAAATGGAGTTACAACATATTATGTGTAAAAGAAGAGTTACTTTAACTTAATAAATAGACATCGTATGTCTATGATGTACAATGTACAATGTACAATATATATTTAGAATTGAAATTTTGATTTAATTCAAAATAAAAATTAAAGCTATATCAAAATATAGTGTTGAATAGTGATTTTAGAAATTGTTCTGGTCTTAATTTAATAATATTTTGGATCTCTTTGACAATATATTTTTTTAGTTTATAACTTATAATTATAGGTTATAAATTTATATGATAATAAAAAACTTATTTGATAATAATTTTTCCATCACGAAATCATTTTATTTATTTTTAGTTTATAATTTATTATTATTTTTATTTTTTTATTTTATTTAAAATCTATTATTAAATATTATTTTTTATAGATTATTTTAATTTAAAATAAAATAATTATATATTAAATATATTTTATGTGATTTTAATTTTAATTTTTTTTTCTTTCTCTGGTCTCTAATGAACGTTGAAGACAAGGAGGAAGACTATCTATGAGTCTATGTGGGAAATTCATTCTCTTTTCCGTAGGATATTAAGATAAGAAATGACATCATGAAACAATGAGAAGGAAATTGTTCCACTTTTCAACTAAGAAAGTTTAATAAGAAACAACAACTTAATTTCAGTGGAAGAAAACAAACAACATAAAGAGAACGGACCATAGTATAATAAAATAAAATAAAAAGGACAGCAATGACGAATACTTGTTGAAATCGAAAAGTCAATACTACAGAGTATGTTGCGTACATGTGTATTTTGTAGAAGAGTATACATCAAGAGGATGTGTTAATTTTGATGTACTAATGTTGTGACTAGGGGTGTGTGTGCATGAATTTGTTTGGATTTGTTTGCCTAAAACCAAAATCCAAAATTATATAGAGTATTCTGATTAAAAGAGATAAAATAACCCATCCATAATAGCATTTTTAGATCAGTTTGAGTAAAATTTTAAATCCGTGGGTTGGATTAATTATAATATTGAGTTATCCATTTTTTTTAGTATAATAATAAATAAAATTATGTGTCATGTTCTTTTTCAAAAATATTCCAACTATATTTTTAAAAAATAGTTTAATTTATTATCACTATTATTTATCATTAATTTTTTTTTCTTTTTCACTCTGATGCTCAAGAAAAAATAGATCCTAGTTGTTCTTGTCTGAAATAAATATTCGGCTGATTTTTCAGAAAGTTGTTAGAGAGAGTTTACTGGAATAAATTTATTAGATGATTGAGGAATTTGAGAGCCACGACAGTGATTCGTGCGTCCCAAGATGAATGTCGTGTTTATCCATCTTGCGGGAGCCCCTTTATATAATGAGTATTTTTGCTTCATCAAGAGCCTCAGCTAATAAGTGACTCTTGAGTTCCATAACTGCGTAACTACCGCTGTCTCCATGAATGAAGATGAATAGTGTTGTGTAACGTAGCAATGAATGCGTCGTCGGCGGTGTTGTACCCTAAATTTCGCCCCTAACTTTTTCAGTCGCACTTTCATACCATATTTTGTCATTCAGTGACAATCATTAATAAATAGCTTCATTCATCACATTTGCATCATATCTTTAAGATTGCTCTTGTGTTGTTGACTAACTTCTAATCAAAATACAAAAAGTATTTATCTTTGTCTTTGCATATTTGTGTTTTGTAGGTGCCGAGTCGAAGTATATGGCAAATAAGATTTTCCGGTATTATTTCCCTAAAATCTCTATTTGCAAAGAAAAAGAATTAAAAAAATTTCATTTTTTTTCATTGTACAATCGATTGCTCCTAGAGTGCAATCGATTGCACAAAGTGCATTTTACATAATTTTTGAAAAAATACATTGTGCAAATCGATTTGCACTGTAGTGCAATCGATTGCACATCGTGAAAATTTGGAAAAAAATCAGCAATTTCAAGCTTGTCAAATTTTGGCTCCAATTTTTCTCTAATTTTTGAAAGAATTATCATTAATTCAAATTTTGGCTCCAAGAATCAATTACTAAATTACCACTAACCTCAATCCTAAACTCCATAAATAGAGCCCTCATTTCATTCAAATTTCAAGCTTTTGATAGCCAAAATCACTTTGTTAAAAAATCTCTCAATTCTCTCCATCTACCAAATTCACTCAAAGCTCCATTTTCAAGAAAAGTTAGTAAACTTTACATTGAAGCTTACTAATCTTTGAACTAAACCTTCACCCAAACACTTTTTCTTCATCAATTCTCTACATCCAAGCTTGGCAATTGATTATTGTGGTTGAATTGAAGCAAATTCTTGAAGTTGTGTTGATAATTCTCTAGATCTACCTTTGGTAAGTTGGATAATTCATCTTTCACAATGTTATCTCTTGGTGATCTTTGGGATTGATTCATTGAGCATTGTTTTGTGACTTCATTGGTTCTATTTTCTCATAATTTGATAGAATTTTCGTGCTCAATCGAATCCATGATCATAAGGTGTTTGATGAAAAGTTTGAACAAGAATTTGGCCTTTTAAAATGATGTTTTGTTGTCTGTAACAGCGTGCAATCGATTGCTGTAACAGTGCAATCGATTGCACTAAGTGAAATTTGCTCAAATTTTTGAAAACTTCATTGTGCAAATTGATTTACATAGTAGTGCAATCGATTTGCACAGAGACAAAATGCATTTTTTGCCTTGTTTTGGGGCAGCTTTGATCCAAAATGCTTTTTCTACTCACTCTTTTTGATTGTTAGTTTGGATTGCAATTTTAAATGTCCAATTTCTCTTTAAATTCAATGGACTTTGTGATGTAGATGAAGTTGGATAAATGTTCATCAATTCAAATCTACCTAAGAGTGGATTATTTAATTCATTTTTGGTGCTTTGGATTAATGATATGTTTAGTGCTTTAATCCATCTAGAGGAGTGGTTGAATTTAAAGATGAAAGAATTTTGAGGTGGTAATCCAAATTAGCTTATCATTCCCCTCCCTCTTCATCTTATCCTTTTCTTTTTTTAAAATGTGCTACGTGTTAAAGGATGATGATCTCTATATCATTTATCCAAACATGAAGTACGTAGATTGCTATTGACTGGCCTCAAAATAGGTGCGAATTCTACATAAGTCCACTTACGATTGCTTAACATAGCGCTAAATTTTGTCCCAATTCGAATAAATGATCATTCGTGGCCCAAACCTATGTTTTCAAGCCCAAGTATGTTAATTTGATCTCTTTGATCCAATAACCTTGAGATTCATTGTGTGGAGGCTTTGGTTCTACCAATCCTCTAATGGATCTATATCACTTTTGGTCAACACAAATCACTTAAACATCATTGATCATTAAATGTTACTTTTGAGGATTCCAAAATGGATGATATACTTGACAAAAAGCAAATGCAACTTGTTGTGTGGAGGCTTTGATTCTACCAATCCTCTAATGAGTTCCAAATGTAAGTTTCAATATGGTCATCCAACTAACCACTAATTTCTAACAATTGACTTTATTTTATGCTTTTATTTTATGCTCTTTACTTTATGTACCATTTAGTTTTTGCATTTACATTTCATGCTATTTTCATCTTTGCTCACTTGAGCATTTACTTTTATGTCATTTTTATTTTGCTCACTTGAGCTTTTCTTTTTCTTTTGAAGACACTTAATAATCAACATGAACCATAAAAAAAACATTAATGATACTCGGACTATTTGGTTACTATCCTTGGCATTATGGAGTGATGGACTTCTTGGACCTAGGATTAGAGACCTTGACTTATGTTGGAGACCTTGTGACCTTAATGGATATTTTGTCTGGAGCTCTTGAGGTTTACCTCAAGACATTGGGTTGTTTGTTTATTTTGTGTGCAGGTTATTGTGATTACATACTTTGCTTGTAATCTGGAATTCACTCGTACACAGCCGTTACTCTGCCCAATTTTTTCGAAGACTTAATACACTTGAAGTTTGGACTTCTCAAGAGGCCTAGTATCTTTGCTTGCTTGGTTTCAATCCAAAAAAATGAGAATTCTACATTGGCTCATAATGTCAAGTTTTGGCTTCTTGTTGGTTAGACGATTCTCTTCCTTATCTTTTACCTTATGCTTTAGGATTGTCCCTTCATCTCCTCCCATCTTCTTTAATTTTCAAAATCTTCTCATCTTTTTTTCAAAACCTTCTTTTTTTATAAACTCGAACCGCTTTCATAATAAACCTCGGCTTTGTCGAGTGCCTTTTCTTTTAAAACTTCTTTTCTTTAAACAAAATTCAATTCACTTAATCATACTTCGACATCTTTCAAAATTAACAAAAACACTTCAACTCATTCAAACCCTTTTATGCGCTGGAGCGGAGCACCTTTACCTTTCAA